ACTGGTAGGATAGATATTGTGAGCAGCAGTACCCCAATTTCCAGCATGCTTTCGTTTCTGGCACCTAATGGAGTAGAAAACGGTCAGTTGGGAGAGCACGTGCTATGAGATCCGTTAGGGTGTGTCTGCACTGCAATAAAACATCCATGGCTGGCCCGTATCAGCTGACTTGCGCTCATGAGGCTATAAAATTGCGGTGTAGACATTCAAGTTGGGCTGGAGCCAGACTTCAGGACCCTGCAAAGGGGGAGGGTCCCAGAACCCAGGCTCCAGCCCGAGCCCGAATGTCTATACTGCAATTTTATAGCCCTGCAGCCCGAGCTCAAGTCAGCGGATACAAGCCAACCATGTTTTTTTTCCTTGCAGTATAGACATACCTTAGGGTCCCAGGTTTTCTCACTGCAGTGCCAGGCCCTGCTGTCATACTCTCAAGCAGCCAGACTTCTGCAAAGCTGGCCGCAGTCTGCAGCAGACAGGCACTGTTGACTGAAAAGGTCAAACAGTGAGTCGAGCCTCAGTCTGTTCATCTTTGGTACACATGCCCCATCATTGGACTGCCTGCTTGTCTGAGTTGTGCGGGTGAGGCTGGGAGATGAAGAAAACTTGGTTTTATTATTTTATATTAACATGACCTTTTGTAAACTTGTTCCTGTTTTTTGGAATTATTTTGTACCAGTTTACATCATTGTCTGAGGTGTATATTTTTATACCAGTGTAAGTGCTTTCTGTGTATTTCCACAATACTGTGCTGTAGTTTACTCATTTTCTAGAGAATGTCAGTATGTTTTGTACAGTCTCCTGTTAACACCACGCAAAATGGGTCCCATGACTAGCTTTACTTTACTACAAAAGTACTAGTTCCTACTGTTTTTATATTTTGCCAGCTGTTTCTTGTATAGACGGGAATTATGTGTAGTTTGTCTTATCACTCCCTTTATGTGCAGGAAGAGCTCAGATGCCTTTCTGACCCCATTCCTGCACTGGTAGAACACGTGGTGGCTGTTATCGACCAGTACCATTTCATCGGCTGATTTGTAGACACTCTTTCTCTTTGCAAACAGCCGTTGGAACATCAGCATTTGGGAAAGTTCTTCAATGGGAGAAAAGCAGTATCAGTCCTGAAAAGAAACAGAAGTTCTCTTCCTCCCTGGAAATCACTGGTTTCTCTGGTGCATGTGTTTTAGTGCGTAGCTATAAGACAGCATGGGGTTATCATACTAAAATGCATTGTTATATTTCAGTTGCAATTTATCTTGAATGTCTTTTCATTCAAGTTTTACTAGTCCACTTAATTTCAGTCAGAGTTGCGCGCTTCAGGTAGGACTTGCCCATTTTATGGAAACAATTATAACAGTAATTTTTCAAAGGCCTCCATGTATCCATCCTGTATCCCTCTCTGCTTTTAAGAGATGAGCAGTGTTTAAGAGTTGTCTTTGGTGACTCAATGGCTGAGGTAATTGCTAATGTGATAGAACTTCTCACCTGTAGGTCATAGGTTTCGGTCCAGTCTCACTCAGTAGTGATCCAGCAATGGCTGGTTGATGGCCTAGGTGGAATGAGTTGGGAATCTGTCCTGTTCGTAGGGGTTCCCCATCCCCATAACCACTGTCACCAGTGAAACGCCTGTTGGCAGTCTCCGCAGAGGGGCCAAGGACTGAATCAGCCCTGGAGCCACTTGCTGTCTCGTGTTCCCTTCAGGGCAGGGGCAAAGTACATTTGGAGGAGGAGGCACAGAGAAGGAAACTTGCACTGCCACTGCCTATGCGTATTCTGGCGATAAAGATTTCATTCTGTAGCACTATCAGCCAAGCAGCCTTCATCAGTGCTAAAACCACATACGAACTAGAACAGAAACCTTGTTCCCTCTGTGACAGAACAGATAATCACTGTACTAAGTTCAAACCCTTGAAAAGCATTGGCAGCACTCTGCCCTCGGATACACACACCCACCTCCCAGAGAAGTCACTGGGACTTGTGTGAGAGAGCCTGGAGACAGAACTATTAGTACTTCTAACATTAAAATTGGAGGCCATGGCCATGCCTTGTTTTCCCCCGGGGTTGCTCCCCTAGGCTCTAACACATGCATAGCTCAGGTTCAGCTTTGTTCCTGCAATGACATGGCAGTTTTCTCTTGACTTCCTGTCATTGTATGAATGAGCAGACAGGAGTATGAGTTAGGTCAGGGAAAGTTATTCACGAAATAAAGGGGAACGAGACAATCCTGGAAAAGAGTAGGTACACACGGGGCCAGATTCTCCTCTCACTTATACCAGTTTTACTCTAGTGTAACACCATTGGCTTAAATGGATTTACTCCTGATTTAGAGCAGGGCATATGGGATCAGAATCCAGCCTTGGACTTGGTTTAAATGTTTTCCTTTGATTCTATATATGTTTATTTCTGCCTATCTTTCTTCAAAGCTACTTTTTGGTTTCCTTATAATTGTAACTTGATTATTTAACACACACACTATATGTAAAGTTATATTTTCCTAGAAACTCTAACATTTGCATTCATCACTTTTTAAAAGGTCAGTTACTCTCAAAATCCAGGTCCTCCAACAGAGTGAGAACCGAGGTTTATCTGTACATCTAAGAGCTGTATATATCTGACTGGATGTACTTTGGGTTTGTGGACCAAGAAAAAATCATCTCAATAAACTGTAGTTTGCAAATGGAGTCTGATCAATCTATTTGGGTGGGGAGGGAGGTTCCTTTGAACTGAAGCTTTTAATATGTTGACAGGCATACGATGCTCATGTGCATGGGTGTGTTGGCTAGGTAGTAGGAACAGAATACACAGCAGAGAAGACAATCTTGCACTGGAACTGAGTAAAGGGTCTGTTCCATCTGGCTTCCAAAATCTTCAAAAACAGCAGGAAAGCTCAGAGACTGAACCTCACTTTGAAGAGAAGATTTGGATCCACGCACATTAAATAGCAAACAGCTCTGGGCTGTTCAATTTCTTGCAAGAGTTGTTTTTATTTTTAAATACAAGTGAGCTTTTGAGATATTTTAAAACTACAACTAACCCCTGACCCAGACCATATTGCTCATATAATTTAAAATGAAATGCAATAGGTTTGGGGCTCAGTTAACTCAGAGATTTGTGAGCAAATATCACTGCAGCCACAGATTCTCATGTTTATGCATGCAGGTGCAGTGGCTGTGTTTGCTGATGGTGATGGCACAGTAGAGGCAAGTCCTGTGTGCTGAAAACAGCTCTTGCTAAATAATTTAAAAACCCTGAAGCAGTAGTGATAAGGACAATCATACTTTGCATATATACAGTACCTATCAACCAAGGATTTCAAAGCACTTTATAGATGTTAATGAAGCCTCTCAGTCCCCAGGCGGAAATGTCAGTATTGCTAAGGATAGCTGATGGGTTGGAACATTTTACCGATGGGGAAACTGAGGCAAAGAGACACCCTGAACAAGACAAATTAAGACCCTGATGCTGAAATCTGTGCGTGAGCCTCACTGAAGTCAATCATGCTCTGTATGGTGTTGGGGGTTCACTTGCAGATGCAGAATTGGGGCCGATAGCTCAATAAATTCTGGGACACAGATGTATGTTATGGGAGACTCAAACATGGCACTATTGTCGGGGTCGAGGGGGCTGTGGGCCTAACCGGAACTGACATACAGATTTGGCTGTGCTCTAAAGCCTATTTTCCCAGCTGGGGACAGCCTCATGTGCCTCACCTGGAAGATGATGACAAGGCCCAGCTTTTGTACTACGTAACTCCCTCCCACCTAAGGCATTCTGTGGGTCTGCATGAGTTTAAGTCAGTGTGGCATTTCCCCTTCATCGATTAATACAAGAATCACAACATCTGCCTGTGTGCCATAAAACAACCATCATAAAGGGAGTTCCATTCCCCCGAGGGACAGCACAGCGGGCACCTTCGAGGCGCTGGGGTGACACCTGCAGAAGGCTGCACTGAACGTGCACATCTGGGTTTGGTATTTAGCTGCCTGCGCGTAACCTTCCACCTCCCCAGTGCCCAACTGTGGAGCCATCTCAGCACCAGGGCCTCTGATAGGTATGGGAGTGAACAGCACAGAAGAGGGTGTGGGGCTGGAGACCCCCAAGTCCCTGTGATTCCTCCCTGCCCCAATCCCCCCATCCAATCCTTTGTTCGCTTATCCCACACCCCCAATCCCCCTGCTCTCCTCTATACAATTACTCCCCCAATCTGCACCTAAGTGCCCCCACTTCCCCATGAATACAATCCCAGATTCCCGTGCTCCTCAGACCCCAGTGGTGCCCCATCCTGCCCCCAGACCTCCCCTGCTCCCCCATCCACCCCCACCCTACCCCTAGGGACCCCTGCACCACATCCTGCCCCCAGACCTCCCCTGCTCCCCCATACTGCCCCCTCCACCCTAAGCACCCCTGCACTCCCATCCTGCCCCCAGACTTTCCCTGCACCCCCATCCTGCCCCCAGACCTCCCCTGCTCCCCCATACTACCCCCACCCTGCCCTAAGCACCCCTGCACCCCCATCCTGCCCCCAGACTTTCCCTGCACCCCCATCCTGCCCCCAGGACTTTCCCTGCACCCCATCCTGCCCCCAGACCTCCCCTGCTCCCCCATACTGCCCCCACCCTGCCCTAAGCACCCCTGCACTCCCATCCTGCCCCCAGACTTTCCCTGCACCCCCATCCTGCCCCCAGACTTTCCCTGCACCCCATCCTGCCCCCAGACCTCCCCTGCTCCCCCATACTGCCCCCACCCTGCCCTAAGCACCCCTGCACTCCCATCCTGCCCCCAGACTTCCCTGCACCCCCATCCTGCCCCCAGACCTCCCCTGCTCCCCCATCCACCTCCAGCCTACCCCAGAGTCCCCTGTCCACCCCCAGACCTCCTTGCACCCAGATCTCTCGCGCTATCTCCTCGGCGCTGTCCTGCCAGCCAGTCCCTCGCTCCAGCTGCCCCCCCCATTTTGTGGCTCTTCACGACACTGTCGCAGCCGCTGCTGCCGTAAAGCGCGGTGGGCGCCCGCAGTCCGGAGGGGAGCGAGGTCATCGCCGCAGCCGCTGCCGGGTCCCGGCTCCACAGCAGCATGTGGCGCGTGTTCGCGCGGCGCCTCGCCCCGTGCGCGGCCCCGCGGCGGGTGCCCGGAGCGGCGGGAGCGAGCCCTGGCCGGGGGGCCCGCGCCCTGAACGGAGGGAGCCTGGGGGCCGCGCAGCCCCCGCCGGGCCCGGGCCGGGGCCGGGGCCGGAGCGCGCCGGGGCCCAGGCCCGCGGGGCGGCTGCTGCTGCTGAGGGAGCCCTGGCCCCGCCTCGTCCCCCGGCGGTGGTGCAGCCTCCCGCCCCACCAGAAGGTGAGGGGCTGGGGGGCACTGGGGGCTGGGGCACCCGGACCTCCCGCCACCCCGGATCCTGACCCCCAGAGCCCCACCCCCGCCACAGAGTCACCCCCTTTCCCTTCCCCCAGCTCCCTGGGGTCCCCCCCCACAGTCACCCCCTTTCCCTTCCCCCAGCTCCCTGGGGTCATGCCCCCCAGACCCCCTTCCCTTCCCCCAGCCCCTGGGGTCATGCCCCCCCGCCACAGAGTCACCCCCTTTCCCTTCCCCCAGCTCCCTGGGGTCATCCCCGCCACAGATCACCCCTTTCCCTTCCCCCAGCTCCCTGGGCATGCCCCCCCCGCCACAGAGTCACCCCCTTTCCCTTCCCCCAGCTCCCTGGGGTCATGCCCCCCCACCCCCGCCACAGAGTCACCCCCTTTCCCTTCCCCCAGCTCCCTGGGGTCATGCCCCCCCGCCACAGAGTCACCCCCTTTCCCTTCCCCCAGCTCCCTGGGGTCATGCCCCCCCACAAGTCACCCCCTTTCCCTTCCCCCAGCTCCCAGGGGTACCCCCCCAGCCACAGAGTCACCCCCTTTCCCTTCCCCCAGCTCCCTGGGGTCATGCCTACCCCAGCCCCACAGCCACGGAGTTACTCTCTTTCTCTTCCCCCAGCTCGCTGGGGTCATGCCCACCCCGACTCTACAGTCGCTGGAGAGGCTAGGATGGGGGACCTCCCCTGAAAAACCCCCGTGAGATGCAAACAACCCCAGCCCAGCCTCCCCCGGCATCCCCTCTCACAGACTTGCTGTCTGACTTGCAGGCCCTACAAGCGGCGTCCTTCTCCTGTTCCTTGGCCCCCGAAACCACAGGATGTTACCCCGGCCAGCCCTAGAGCCCACTTGCCAATAGCCCAGTCGTTTGCCAAGTTCGGATTTGCCCTTGTCTTCGTGCCCCTTCCCCACCCACTGTGGTATTGTGCACCAGTCGGTAGCTGCCCTTTAGAGCTCCAGGGGACAAGCAATTCCCTGGAGTCAGTCTGAGTTATGAAGCACCTTGGGATGAAAGGCTCTGAATAAATGTGAGACTATTGCATTAGCATTATGGCTGTTTTATTGTTGGCACCTTGACTGTTTCTGGATTCAAGAGCATTGACTGGCCTCTCGCCTCTCTTGGTAGAAGGTGTTCTAGAGTCACTTATGCTATGGCTGGGTTGTTCTTTTGCAGGTGCCTTTGCCGGCTCTTTCCCCTACAATGCAGATGGGGACTATCGCTCGGTGGGAGAAGAAGGAAGGGGAGAAGATCAGCGAGGGTGATCTGATTGCAGAGGTACCGTGGAGAGGTCGCCCCTAACCAGGACGGCCCCAGTTATGGGGCACCAAGGGCCAGATTGTGGGGGGCCTCTCACTTTCTGGTGGGGTGGGAGGCTGCACCATAACCAGAGAATGAGGCAGGTTATGGTCTCTAAAATTGTCCCCGTACTAACTGCATGCCCTGGATTTTGTCACAAGTCACCCCAAACAGGTATAATTGTTCTTTCCTCACCCTTACCCATTATCTCTGATTCAGCATTGGAAGGTTGACTCCTGCCTCTGATCAGCCCATAATGCCAGCTTCCATTACCCACTTGTTAAATTTTCAAACAAGCACCTTTGTACTTTCTCCTGTGCTGCCCCTCAGGCTTGGGAGAAGCTCCCCATAAACATCCACAAAACTAACTCATTTTCCTCCGTCAGATTTCTTCTTAAAATTCTTTTCTGCTGTGAGGCCTACATAAAATTTGTCCACAGATAGGCTGCTGGTGGGCTGAGACCACAGGCTGTCCTACTGATATATTGTCTCATTGTTTCCTTGTACTCCCCTGTCAGTCTGTCCATCCATCTGGTCCCTCTCATACTTAGATTGTGAGTTGTCTGGGGCAGGGACTCTCTTTGTGTTTTGTGTGTGTACAGCACCTAGCACAGTGGTGTCCTGATCAATGTCTGGGGTGCCTAGATACTATGAAATACAGATAATAAAAATTAATATTAATTTTCTGAAGCCACTTTATTGAAGGGATTAAAAACAGCCACAACCTCACTACCCCTCAGAGTTGCCTGCTGTTTCCTAGCGACTTGTGAGGGGGATTGAACCTCTACAGTCTCTTTTCCTTGTCAGCCAAGTTGCTGCTGTCAGCTGAGATGATTCTCACCATGGCTTTATATGCCAGGGAGCTTCACCCACAAACATCAGACTGGAGGAGTCTGAGCTGTATGCAGCCCTTTTTATTTTTTTCTTTCTTTCTTTTGGGCCATAACAAGATCGTTCTCTTTTTGCAAAGGTGGAAACAGACAAAGCGACTGTGGGATTTGAGAGTCTGGAAGAATGTTACTTGGCTAAGATCCTGGTAGCAGAAGGGACAAGGGATGTCCCCATTGGGTCTGTAATATGTATCACAGTTGAAAAGTAAGTAAATGGATCACATCTCAGTAGAGTGCTGTCTGGGGAACCTGGCAGGTTGGGTGCCCTGGATGAAGCATTAGGCACGTTATCTTCCATATTGTTCATGGCTCCTTTGGCTCTTCTTCTAGGCCTGAGTTTATTGATGCCTTTAAGAATTTTACCTTGGATTCTGCAGCACCTGCTGCTACAGCAGCCTCAGTACCTCCCCCTCCAGCGGCAGTTCCCCCGCCACCAGCTCAGCCCTCTGTGCAGACTCCAGGCAGCTCCTATCCTCCTCACATGCAGGTAAGGCATGTACATACCTGTAGTGAATTATTCTTCAGTGTCTGTCTTCTGCCTGTCTAACACTAATAGCTCCTAGGCACTGTGATGTAGATATAAACCATAGGCCTTATTAGCTCTAGCTGCAGGAGTGAGAGTCAATCGTACAGATTTAAAATGGGCTTTAAAAAACCCCAATCAGTTAAGCTTTAAAACTGTTTTAGGGCCCCTGGTATCAGTCGAAGAAGACAGTCTGTTCCCTCAGACTATGAAAAGCTCCTGTATGCACATGATTCTCTTCTTGGTTAATTTGGCTAGTAGATGGCCTAGCTATATAGAATGGAGTAAAGGATGAAGGCATTCAGCAAGCTATAAAGCAGCACTCTGTCTCTGGTCAAGTGACTAGTCCCCTGAAAAAAAATACTTAGTCATTGGACTAGGAAGAGAGAGAAAGAGACTTTGTAATCCAGTTTTAGGGCACCCCCCTGGGAGAGGGGAGACCCTGGGTCCAGTCCCCCTGCTCCAATCACTCGTTCATTATTTATCCACAGTGGAACAGCTTCAACAGGAGAGACTGAGGGGGCCCTACATCAGAATATCCCATTGCTCAGTGATTAGAGCATTCTCCTGAGAGGTGGGAGACCCCTGTTCAAATCCTTTCTTGCGCTCTAGTCAGAGTGAAGAGGGGACTGAATCTGGGTGCCCCACATCCTGGGTGAGTGCTCTAACCTCTGGGCTAAAAGTTATAAGGTGAGGGGCACCACCACCTCCTCCTGTAGCCGTTTTTGTGTGGAGCGAGGCAGGTGCTGAACTCATTCCCACAAGAAGTGGCTTAGGCGGTTGGTTCCCCTTCACGATCACTTCCAGAGCTAGGTGCCTCCCTGCAGCCCAGACTCAAGTGCCCATCAGTGTGAGTGGGACAGGGCTTAGTACACATCCCTGTTGTTGGCATTGGCTGGCTTTTATGGTTCATGTTCTCTGGTGCCTATCTCTCCCCATTCATTGGATAGGAAGCCTAGGCCTCTAGCTCAGCTTTGTGGACTGCAGAGTTGTTCATGTGATTTCTTTAGGCCACTGAATCATAGGTCTGAATCATAGAATATCATGGTTGGAAGGGACCTCAGGAGGTCATCTAGTCCAACCCCCTGCTCAAAGCAGGACCAATCTCCAATTTTTGGCCCAGATCCCTAAATGGCCCCCTCAAGGATTGAACTCACAACCCTGGGTTTAGCAACTGAAAGTTAGGCGCCGTGACATTGAGCATGAAACAAAGGGACTTAGGAGCTACATCGCACCCTCTGTTACTCTGCTGGGGCCCAGTTATGTGGGAAGAATTTCTTTTAAGTTTGCATAGCCCAGGAGCAGACCAGTTGTGCTTGGTTAGTTCTCATGTGGTTAGATGCTGAGATATCTCTGTGTGACTGCCTAGTACTACTACAGTATCCTGTGTTTGTCTATCTTAAGTACTTATATGGCCCTTTTACCATTGTAGCTGAGCATCTCACAACCTTTAATGGGTTTAGCCTTGCAATACTCCTGTGAAGTAGGGAGTTGCTATAATCCCCATTTTACAGGTGGGATGCTGAGGTACAGTGAGATTGTGACTTGCTCAGGGCATCACAGGAAGTGTATGGTGGTACAGGGAATTTAACCCAAGTCTCTTGAATCCCAGACTAGCACCTTGCCCGCTGGACCATGCTTCCTTTCTACTGCTCTTTTCTTGTTCAGGGCTGGTCGAATGTTGATTCTCTAACAAGTTCTGCAGTGATGCAGTAGAAGAGATACTAGTGTCTTGCAAAGTTGTGCACATCATTATTATTGCATCCATATCTAAAGTGCCCATCGCTGTAGTACCTGACTGCTCTGAGGGCCAGGGTGTGTCACTCCCAGCACAGTTTTTCCCATTCTCCCCTTCGTTTTTCATAGTATTGTGTTAAGGAGTCATATTCCAAATGGAGTTGGCGGAACCTCACCTGTTCTGGGAATTGGGAGTTTTATTTCCATTTCTTCCACTGATTTGCTGTGTGACCTCACACAAGGCACTCCACCTATCTATGCCTCAATTTCCCCATCTGTGCACTTTGGCGCTACAGGTGAAAACTGTTACATAAGTGCTAGGTGAGGGTTATTTACTAGCACTAAACAGGCAAAGCAGAATCCCAACAGGAAAATCCCTCAGTTGTTGCCTTTCAATTTTCTTCCTTAATTTAAGCTCTGGTTTAGCGTCTTTAAAGAAGAATCTGGCAGCAGCAGCATCGCACCCTGCTCCGTTGGGTTAGGCAGGCCCAGGAACATATTGGTGCTGGCTCATTCTCCAGGGTAATACACTGGTTGGGGTTTGAAGTCATGCTCCTGTTGGCTTTCAGTTATCTGTTATGATACCCTCGCATTCTTTTGACTCCATAGATTGTTCTCCCTGCTCTCTCACCAACGATGACAATGGGCACGGTTCAGCGGTGGGAGAAGAAGGTTGGTGAGAAACTGAGCGAAGGAGACTTACTGGCAGAAATTGAAACAGATAAAGCCACAATAGGTGAGCAATCTCTTACCCTGAGAGAGACCATAGATTGTTCTTTAACCTCTGGAGAGAGAGAGAGAGTAATCCACAGTAGAGCTTCAAACCAGCCTCTTCTCTTCCAGCTGCAAAGGGCAGCAGGCCTTGGTGCAATGTAAAAGGAGCAACGTAAAGCTATTTCCTGTCCTCTTGTAGTTCTAGGTGATGGAGCTGCTAATAGCAGCTCCCAGCTTTGCACCAGCCCTGTGGTGTTAAACCTGCAGTACATGGAGACTTCTCCCCATTCAGTGTTGTTTTAAAGATGTGTTAAAAAGTGGCAGGGATTTAGTTACTATGGGGAGACTGAAAGCATCATCCAAAAGAACTCTTCATGGTGCCAGTGTTGAGATTGTGTGACATCAATGCCAACCTTCTGGTTATTTGATCTTCTCCAGCATTCATCAGTCATTTTCTTTTAAGGCTTTGAAGTGCAGGAAGAAGGCTACCTGGCAAAAATTCTGGTGTCTGAAGGAACAAGGGATGTGCCATTAGGAACCCCACTCTGTATCATTGTGGAGAAGGAGTCTGATATTCCAGCATTTGCTGACTACAGGGATACTGGAGTAGCTGATATCAAACCACAAGCACCACCACCCAGTCCTCTCCCTCCGGTAAAGACTATCTCTCATGGGGAAGAGAAGAGGGGGGACCATTAGCAGTTGTTAATCTGACCTGAATAATCCTGCTGGTTTGAACCTTGTGAAGCTTGAACTCCAGTAATGTGTTTGTGGTATCATGAGTGGAAGGATATCGTGAGATGAATACAACCTATTAGCACCAGCTAATCTATTCTCTGGGAACTGATGGCGGTTGTTCCCTATGTCTGTAATCCAGACTGCTGCCCGTTCTCGTTTTAAATGCTCCAAATGATGGGGATACAAGTCACTTACTGCCCCTTCATCTGGGAGATGATTCCACAGCCTAATCAGTCACACTCCCAGAAAGGCATTCTGATAGACTAAATTTTCTCATAATGTCATTTATTTCTCTGCACATTCCGAAATAATTCCTCTCCCCCATACCTGCAGTGTTTCATTCCCTACCTCTGATCATCACTCTAGCCACAGTTCTGCTGATTTAGCTCTCATTCTCTTCCTTAATCTCCTAAATCAGCCCCTCCAGCCCCTGATCACTGTTGTTGCTGATCTGTGAACATTCTCTAGTTGGTTTTTGGTAACCAGATGCCCATGTTCTCTTTGCATGTTACATCTCCTCATACTTAAGTGAAACTTTAAGACTTTAGCTGAATGTCTGTGCAGCTAATGACTGTGTCTAACCCATTCTCTTAAGGTGGCAGCTCCTCCTCCCCAGCCCACTGCCCCTTCAGCTCCAGCAGTCTCATCATCTGGGGCTCCTGTACATAAAGGAAGGGTAATAATTAGCCCCCTGGCAAAGAAAATGGCAGCAGAAAGAGGAATTGACATTGCGCAGGTGAAAGGTGAGTTGCCATTTCCGTTCTTATCCAAGTCTCTGTTGCCCTTAGATATGTGCTTAGCTGTCTGTTCGCTCCCAGTCCATCAAAAATGTTTTCTGGTCACAGATTACAGCTGAATGTCCAGTTGCTGTGCTGAGTGACTGGGTTAGAAGGGAGTGGGTTTCATTTTAATTTGCATTTTCCCAATATGGCATTGCATGAAATCATCTTACATTTCACATGTCCCTTAACCAGGTACTGGACCAGATGGCAGAATCACGAAGAAAGATATTGAGTCATTTGTGCCTCCAAAGGTTGTCCCTGTGAGTAGGACTGAAATCCGTGAGATCTCGTACTACTGCATTAGTAGTTGTTTTGACAGAAGTGTAGAGCTACCCGCTGCTCTTTGGAAGCGGCTGAAGACTGCAACCAGCAGGTGAAGTACGAGCATTCTGAAGACTGACAGTTTTGCTGGTGATTGGACAGTGTGGAAAGTGTTGGGGAGTCAGCATGTGTAGGACTTCAGAAACGTGAGATGAGATGTTCTCCTTTTTTAATTTGTCACTTTTTGGAATTTTGCTGCAGAAGCACATCCTGCCTCTCCAGGTGTTACTATGGTAATGGGGACCATATAAACGGAACAGCTAATGGAGTGGTGGAGCCTTGAGGAAGGCAGCTTAGGAGGGGAAAATCGAAGGAAGGCCAGTATTAAAAACTGAAAGTCTTCTGCAGTCCTCCTTACTTTGCAATCATTGTCTGATAGAGTTCTGCTTTGTAGCTGTAACCGTGTAGGCTGGTACCTATCACTAATATTTATTACCAGTCCTTAATTAGAATATAGTAGCTACAGATGTCAATACCATATGTTTCATATACCCACAAACGCCACATTCTGGGAACAGAATGTTATCGAGGCCTTAACATTTGGGTTTGTGAATCACTTAAAATGTATCTGGGTAGGAAGCTATAGGACGGGAGTGCCTTCTGCTTACTAAAGAAGGCGACCGGAAACACGGAGAGCAGCCGTGTCTCAGCCATCTGTTTTCCACCACAGCCTTATTCACAGGAGTCATCCCAAAGCTTGTCTCCGTAATGTTGATTTCTAGTTTCTGACAAACCCCAGTTCACATTTGAGCGATGATCGGAAACCCGGCTGTCTGTCTGTCTTTGTGCACAGGCCCCGGCAGCTCCTGTTACACCTGCAGCTCCAACAGCAACACCACCTCCTTCAGGTGTCTTCACAGATATCCCCATCAGTAATGTTCGGAGGGTAAGAGGTTTTCCTTCTTTCTCTCCCTTTAAAGAGATGATTGTATTTACACATAGGAGTCTTTCCAGAAACATTAAACATTTAACCACTGTTGACTAAGGTCCCTTTTAACTAGGAGGGCCAATTGGATGCTGAAGGGTAGTGAACTTGGTGGAAAAACTTGCTCATGAGAGTAAGTGATTTAATAGCGCTGGCTTGAGCAAGGCATAGAACTGGCAGGTGTTGAGCAAGCTTCCCCCATGCAGCTTTGCTGATGCACCTCCATTCTGACCTGTGAGACCATGCAGCTTTGTCAATGCACCTCAGCCCTAATCTGCAGCAACCCTTCTATTCCATTTGCGCCTTGAGCAGAGATGGCTAATTGTGCTAAATCATGTCGTGGTGGTTGATGTACCCAAAAAAGGGGACTAGGGTCAGATCCACCCACGCTGCGAGAAATGAAAGTTGAAGCAAAAATTTTACTGCTATTAGTGATTTATAGTAGGGTGACATCTCTAGGTGTCTGGTGGCTTATAATGGACAACCATTCCTGTTAGCCAAATCTCTCTCTTCTGGTGTAATAAACTTCATTTGAAGGTGAGGGCGAGATCTTCTTGTGGAGGTGCCTTTTATATACAGCAGCTGCTTTATTGCGTGTATAAAAATGCATCCATCCAACGTTTCTGGCCTCATGTACAATCTCTCTCTCTCTCTCTCTCTAAAATACAAACAGTTAGGACCACTGTCCCCAAAACGAAGATGCTTCCCAAATCACCATAACAAAGTTTTCCTCTGTCTCAGCCCATCTGTTCATCTCTCTACGCCATCCAGCAAAATGAGAGTAGGGGTATAAATTCTAGCTGATTTAAAAATGCAAAATCCTTATATTGGTCTTTTGACTATTGTCTGCTGCTCAGTGGTCTTTATGTAGCAACTCCAAAGACGCTTGGACCAAACCTAATTGTGCTAGAATGTGTGCATCTAAGACAGTGGTGTGCGTTGTCAACCCTACTTTTAACTTGGATGGAAGCCCATTTTGCAAAGTGTGTTGTGTTTTAATGACCTGCTCTGTTTGCCTTCAGGTCATTGCTCAGCGTTTGATGCAGTCTAAACAAACAATACCTCACTACTATCTGTCTATTGATATAAATGTGGAAGAAATATTGGAGCTCAGGAAAGAACTCAATAAGGTAACACAACTGAAGGGTGGTGTGGGTCTGAGGACAGGTAGATAATCAGTATGATGAGCCTCCTGCATCTGTTCTTCAGGGTTGAGCCAGCTGGACTTGGGAAGAACAGGTTCCTTCGCATCCAAACTTTGCTGCCTCCTGCTAATCAGGTCTTGACCCTCTTGTGACAGAGTGTGGAGAAGTCTTCTCCATCCAAACACTGCCCATTGCGTGCTCAGAGTTCCCCAGCCTGATCACATTGAATCCTAGACAAGCTGCACAGCTTTCTTTTACTATTGTTGCCTCAGCTAGAAAATAGGATAAAGAGCAGGATCAAATCGTAAATGAGATGCTGCGTCTGAGCAGAGTTCTTTCTTTTGGGGAAATGAAGATCACATATCCCAAAACTGAATACTGCTTCTCGGACTACAAGGCGGGGGCAGGGGCAGGGGGGAGGAATGCAAATGTTAAATGGGCTTAAGGCACTTTCAAATGTTTCCTCTTAGAGATGTGCCAGATTGACTGACTGTGATAGGGTCACGTAGTAAGTGTAAACAGGCCATGTAGTCTTGTGTTTATGCAAACTGATTCAGTTTTTATGGTGACTATAAGGAGTGAGTAAATCACTGACATTTCAGACCTCTGTCTTCTCTTTACAGGAGGTGTCGGAGAACATTAAGCTTTCCATCAATGACTTCATCATTAAAGCTTCAGCTCTGGCTTGTGTGAAGGTGCCTGAAGCCAATTCCTCATGGTTGGACACTGTTATCAGGCAGTAAGTATATGGTCCAAATGTAGCTAGTAACTTTATTCAGTATGGTGTTAATAGCAAAATGGAGCAATTCTCCCACACTTTTGGCAGGATCTCATAAAGGGGCAGGAATGGGAGCAGCTGCAGTATAAAACTCAGGGGATTCTCAAGAGTTCATATACCTTTCTTAAAGTGCCCTTGTGAGTGAGGCCTGGGCACTAGACTTAATGGACATGACAGTAACCACTTGTTTATACGAGGTGGCTTTAATTCTTTAAAAAAAATCTTTCTTTTGTGTCCCGCTCAAGTAATATGGGTTGTGTCCCCGTTGTGTCTTACAGAAATCATGTAGTGGATGTTAGCATTGCAGTGAGTACTCCTGCAGGGCTTATAACTCCCATCGTGTTCAATGCGCACATAAAGGGATTGGCTTCCATTAGTAAAGATGTTGCCTCTTTGGCAGCCAAAGCACGAGAAGGTAAACTTCAGCCCCATGAATTCCAGGTGAGGAGCTTGGTGTGTTAGTAATTACTGGAGCGGTGATTGTCCCTGACTTTAAAAAAAAAAAAAGTGAACCATTTCATGACATGTGGGTCAAATGACCCCTTCAGAACAGGCACTTTCAAATCCATGATCTAGTTTAGCCATGTTAATTAACATGTTGTGTGAAGTAACTTTTGTGATGTTCCATATATTAATCTATGTGTTTATTTCCTGTAGGGAGGCACTTTTACGGTTTCCAATTTAGGAATGTATGGGATTAAGAATTTTTCTGCCATAATCAATCCACCTCAGGCATGTATTCTGGCAGTTGGTACTTCAGAGAACAGGCTGGTGCCAGCAAATAATGAGAAGGGGTAAGTATTAAATAGAGCATTATCTAGATTCAGTTAACTCTTCAAACAGGTGACATTTACTTTGGAATAGTGGCTAGTATTCTAATTTTCCCATCAGATGATCAATATTTAGCAGTATTGCACAGTGCCACTGTGAGTTAGAGAAGTCCTATTATCCCCATCTGTAAGATGGGGGCCTGAGGCACAGAGAGTAAATAATTTGCTCAAGGTCGCACAGGAAATGTGTGGCAGAGAAGGGAACTGAACCTTTGTCTCCTAAATCCTAGATTAGTGCCTTTCTCACAGGACCATATTTCGCTGGCAAATTTTGAGTGGCACAGTGCAGACTTTTGAATCTGGTGAGCAAATGAATGACACGTATAGATAAAAGACAGTCTTACTGCCTGAAAACTCATGCTGAGGTAGCCAGGCCTAGAGTGTGACTTAGCATGGAGATAGAGTGAAGTTTTATCACCAATGTATATGCATTTTATTAAATAAAATGAGCTGCATGTTCCAAAGGGATCACCTAATTTCAGAAAGTGAAGGATATGATCTACTCTATCATGTAGATCTTTATCATAAGCATTTGTGAAGGTATACATGTAGATCTGAGTACTACAGGACTAACACCCTTTGGGGTTTATCTTTTATAAAAGTCCTAGGTGGTGTGAATATCACTGGCTGACAAATCTCTGCAAACTAACTTGCGAGTGCTAAATGTGGGATTTTGTTTCTCTTCCCAGGTTTGATGTGGCCAGCATGATGTCAGTTACTCTTAGTTGTGACCATCGAGTTGTGGATGGAGCAGTTGGAGCCCAGTGGCTTGCTGAGTTCAAAAAGTTCCTTGAAAAGCCAACAACCATGCTGCTATAATCAAACCAAACAACCAAGACTTTCCTAGGTCACATTGTTCTGTTCTAATCAAGCTATTTATATTTCAGTGATTAGACTCTATTAAACAAATTTTCCTTTTTTATTTTAAATATGTATATTAACTGGTAATTTTTACCATTCTGTACAGATAAATAGTTTGCAAAAGGCTTTACAGAGCAATATACAGTTATACTGTATTTTATACAGTTAATGAATTTGCCAATGTTTCTCAAAAAAAAGTCAAGTGTCTTGGATTTAAAATCATGTGAGCACTGTATGCTTCATGTATGCTCCTGAATTGGGGTGGGCAGGAGCATACACAGATATATAATCTCTTATGTTCTCAGAAATTAAGAGAACCAGATTGTAAACATCTGTGCAAAAGAATCTGTAAGGCTTGGTAGCTGAAATCTACAAGCTAGTTTAAAACAAAAAACAAAACAAAAAAAGTGAACCCTAAGTGGTCTGTTCTCCTGTTAGTATTAGTGAGAGTGACAGGCATACATTGAGAGGAGGAATATTTTTTCATAGGACAAAGGGTTCACATTGCAATTCCTCCTTGGAATTCAACACTAGCTTAGATTTTCACAGCTAAGTGATCCCTTTTTAGAGGACTTAAAAAAAAAAAAAAAAAGGCAAGAGAGAAGTTAAATTAATCAAGCTATCAAAACAGTACAATCAAATCTCTTCTAAATGTCACAGAGAATGTGCCCCATCCTTGTGGATTTTCACGTGTGTGTATTTTTGTATGAAATTATCTTAAATGGCTGCTTTCCCCTTTGCAATGTTAACAGTACACCCTGTTGCAATGGAAATAGTTGTACTGCAGACCAGTCAGGAGAATTTCTTGCTAGGTGTGTCGATACCTGTTGTTAGCATGTGTAATTTGGCCATTGGAATTCCATCCCTGGCAATCATTTTTGTGATGAGTTGCATGTTTGAAAATTGATTTTTCAGACATTCTTGACACAGGAAGCTCTAACATGAGTTGAGGTCATTGATATCACAATTCTTAAATGAAATGTCTTTACTGCCCCAGCCTTCATAAACTGTGAATGTGCTGTCCCATGTATATAATGTATGTAAAATGCTTTAAATGGTTTTCTATTGGACTTGTACCCAAATACACTAATAGTTGTGTCCTACAGTGGGGGGGATACATTAGTGGCCACTCCCAATATTCCACTTTCCAAAGGGAAATCTTAACTTAAAAAGAAAGATCATGTAGTTGATCGGTGACCTGGAGAGCTTGGTAGGAATGAAAGGTTATTCTGTACCCTATACATTACATTAAATATTGTCTCTTGTAAAGTTGTGCTACAGAATCCACTAAAGATAATACTGAAAAAATACACTGTGGAGATGAAATATTTTTGTGAGAACTATTTAACGTTTTACTCGGTTGGTTGCAGTTATACCTAACTTTGATGGTTGGGTAAGAAGAAAAGTTGTTGCATTTAAGTATAAAAATGTTCTGATTTTCTCAGTTCCAGATTCTTGGGTGAGTCCATGTGTTCTATTAAATCTTTGGAATTGTTAGACTAATAAAAATTGTCCCAGTGCTTTTTCTGTTTAGTAATGGGTGCTGCTGACCTCGCTGCTAGTGCACAGTCTGTGCAAGTTGTCAGCCCTTCTGGTTGGGCAAATGCAATTTTACCCTGTTAACCTTAAGGTTTCCCGCCATAAGTGTTCAGCAGTGTCTCTGTTAAGCCACTGTCATGTAGCACTAGACTTGGATGATCTATGTTTCTGACTCCACTGCACCGAGTACTTAGAATTCGGGTTAAGGAAATCCTGGACACTCTTGTTGTTCCTTCCCTGTAATAAACTGAAAATCAAAACAGGAACTAGCTTGTGCCAAAGGACCACGGTCCTATTGCGAGCCTGACTGGTGAACAGGCTGCAGAACAGCAGAATGATCCTTTCAGCTCTGTGTTTGTATTTGGCTTTGTGTTGCTTGCAGTGCCCTGTTGCACACTATACACTCCAACTAGGGCAGCTCATGTACATTAACGCTATTTCAGGCTGACCTATAACTATAGAAATGCAGTCTTTAGATGCAATCCTTGTAACTGTTTCAGAACAAAAAAGGAAAACTAAGAATTGCTGCTCGTGAGTAAATTAGTCTGTTAAAATTAAATACAATTATACATTTGTAACCTGTCTGTTGAATTTCTGATCTATTTTTAAACATGGTTATTCCTTTGCCATATTGTCATATGCTGTATGGGAGAAGCGTAGTGTAAAGCTAAAGTGGGTACAACCTGGCATAAAAGGGGTGAGTACATTGTGATATCAACTCACTTACCAAAAGGCATCATGGAATTGATGCTTTATTTCCTCACTTAGAGTCTGAAAAATAATTTCATATTAGAATAGAATATGATCATTATTGCCTTTGTAAGACAACTTGACTCCTCGCCAACCTTTCCCAACCAGTGAAGTACTAATTTTTAATATTATTTCATCTGCATTGGCTTGTTTTCTTCATGAATGCTAGCAGGCACCACAGAGATATAGCACTTGGAAAGTGTTTATAGCAGAGAAACCCTTTTGGTAGATACCTTCATTTGCAGGGTTCTTGAGCCTTAATATTCATTATGTAAACAGGCCTTGAATGGGCAGACTAGTTCTAGAGCGCTATTGTTATGTTGCCTAGTTCTGCTGAGATTGCAGTACCACTGCATTGGTGGGTTAAGGCCAACTCTTAGTGCACAGCTGCCCTCAGTACTATCGGCAGAGGAGCCAGTGACTGAATTGGCTTTAGAGTAACAGCCGTGTTAGTCTGTATTCGCAAAAAGAAAAGGAGTACTTGTGGCACCTTAGAGACTAACCAATTTGAGCATGAGCTTTCGTGAGCTACAGCTCACTTTGAGCTGTAGCTCACGAAAGCTCATGCTCAAATAAATTGGTTAGTCTCTAAGGTGCCACAAGTACTCCATTTCTTTTTGTGAATTGGCTTTGGAGACTACTCACCTCACCTTTTAAAGGTAACCCCTGCATTACACCAATTTGAAAAAGAAGCCAGGTTGTGGGAGAGCTTGCACTGTTATATGTCATGCATCATCAATGTCACCATCTTTCACCAGCATTAAATCCTCTATTTAAAAAGAAACAGTTTGCTAACACCAGATAAGTTTTTTCAGCAGAGTAAAACCAAAAAGAAAAACACTATTTCTTCAAAGTTAATCCCTCTTTATTGCTCTACTGATGGACAAACTGAAGATGGTAGGAAAGTTTATAATGTAGAATCATGTGTTAGAGATAAAATGATCTAAGTAACACTTAAATGTTTACAACTTATATTAAGAATTCCTTCCTATTCTTTATACTGTACACTTCATGACCCTCTATTTTCAGAGGAAATTATGTGTGTGCAGACAGCAGAACAGATTCTTAGAATAACACAGTGATACTGATTTCTACTTATGGGTAAGATCTTTACCATTAACCTTCCTTTTAATCTTTAAGGGTGACACATATCCACTAACTTTTTGAGAACCTGCTGTCCCTAACATTTTCCTTGGGGAATTGGCATTGTGATAAGCAACACACCTTTCCCTTTGTTAAATGTTGCTGTAGTTGCTTCTTCATTGACCAACTCTGGTAAATCCAGCTGTAATCTGTATTTCTCAGGGACTTCAACGATTACATCGTCCTAAAACATAGGCAAATTAAAATACTCCATAAGCAAGTATATATGTTAGTTAAAAGTGACTTTCTAAGCCTGTTTGGGTTCAACAGAGAGAAAACAGAGGTTTTTTTCCTTTAAAACTTACCCTTGAAATGCTCAGTTCACATTCAGAAACGGAACTAACTTTAGGCAATTCAACTTTCAGTTCAATCTTTAGAGGTTTCCTGTTTGCATCCTTTGCAATGGTCAGTTCATAGGCTGGTGTGTTTACCTCCTCTGGCAGCTCCATACTGGCAATTTCTTCTATCAGATGCACTTTAGACTGTGTAACATTCTTGTTCAGCAGCAATGTAGCATTATTGTGGTGGTCCTCTCCGAGGTTGTGCTTCATCAGGTCCAGTGTCAGTTCTTCCAGGAAAAAATATTATTCACATAGGTAGTTACTAAAATATCTTATTAGAAATAAGAAAAGGAGTACTTGTGGCACCTTAGAGACTAACCAATTTATTTGAGCTCATGCTCAAATAAATTGGTTAGTCTCTAAGGTGCCACAAGTACTCGTTTTCTTTTTGCGAATACAGACTAACACGGCTGTTACTCTGAAACCTATTATTAGAAATAGTTTAGCTGTAGATTTAACTGATGGTTTTATACCAGTTGGCAAAATGTGCCAAAACTTAAGTCTCAGCTTTGTGATTATGAAGTCAGCTGCTAAAGCTTGTATACTAATTTCATGGAGCTCTTTCCATCTTCATTCCTCATTTCCACTTTTATTTGTAAGTAATTTATTTTATTTGTAAGGTACAAGATTGAAACTCAAGTTTCCAGTGTTCTGTACCTTACAGTAACACCACAAAGGCCTGATTCTACTGGGCCCAGACCTGCAAGATGCTCAGCATCTCCCTGGAACAGGGCACAGGTCAGTTTCAGTATTGTTTAGATTTCATGGATATGGAAAGTAACATTGTAACTACTTCTCACATGAACAGGACTGGGAGTTTAGCCTTTCCCATTACACACTTCTTTTAAATTACTGTCAGGAGATGGTATGTACCGTTCCTCATGTTCTTGTTGAGAAGTGGAGCTGGTACTGGCCCTCCTCTCAGACTCTGTTTCATCCTTTTCAGGCTTCCTCTGAGTGTGAATGTTGCAATGTGATAAGAGTGGGACAGAGAGAGGTTGTAATGCTCCTCAATGTATTTAAACGTCAGACTGATCAAATGATCCATTTCTGCTTGGTTCTCTCGCTGAAGAACAGATGGGTTATATGCAATATCTATGATGGAGTAAAGCTCTAGAAAAACAATGAGTCAAAATTATTGCTGTACTGCTACAATCTTTTATAGGGGATAGAATACACCATCTGCCGTGGCTACAATGGGGGTAACCTATATTAAGAATAATTTTGATGCTTTTCATGATTGAATGTTTTGAAGAGTCAATAATGTGACTAGGGAGTGGCTTGATCTGTGATTTCCTATGAGGTGCTGGTTCCAGAAAACTGACCTGTAGAAAATACCACTTTTATCCAGCAGACCACTTACGTACACGTGTAAAGTTAAGCATAGGCATAATTTCCCTGTATTTAATGGAACTGTGATTACTCATGTGCCTAAAGATAGATAGATACATATGCTAAGGCCCCAATCCTGCAAGGTACTTAAGCATTTAGTGTAATGATCTGCATTTTCAGAAAGAACAACCACTTTTACTTAAGGTTCTGTCTATGCCTCCTCCACCTTCAAGTTGCGAGCTATATACCAGTCAATGGAATTCTCTTTGTCAAAGTTAGGCCTTTGCCTTCCCAATACAATACTACAGGACCGAGGGGAAAGTGTCCTAACTGTAGCATGTACAGAGAGTATTTTGGAACCCGTTATGTACTTGCCCGCTTTATCGGACACCTCCTCTAGTACGCCAGCACTTAGAGGTATTGGATCAGTAGGTGACTTAGGAGCTGGGACCCTTTTCCACCTGCAGAGGTTAATGAATAATGATTTTTCATTAGGATCCTGCAAAGAGAACGCAAAATCACTTAATCACCACAAATGTTTAGGTCCCCTTATCTCCAAAAGTAAAATAATAGGCCACTTCCAACTTCTTAACTACCTATAAACTTCTTTGTTCAACTTTATATAAAACATGTAAAGAGCTGTGTGTGTCTTTGTGCCCACAGGGCTTTCGTATTGAAGAAAAGATACACTGAGGAGGAAAAAACAAAAGCTAGTCTAAATGATCATACACCAGGAGCAGGATAGGATTTACATACAGTGTATGAACATCAATTTTCGGGACACAAAGGGGCCTTTTTACCAGACAACACCAACAGTACAAGTCTTGTCGCAGTCTGTGCTATGTAGGACATTCAAAAACAAACTACTGCTTTAGAGTCTGAGCGTGACCTATGGTTGTGCCAGTGTACACAAGTAATTCCACTGCTGTCAATAGAATTACACTGCAGCAATAGTATGAGAGGAGAATCAGGTTTCTAGTATCTAGGAGTTGGCTACTTTCATAGCACACAGTGGGAGAGCTGCGTCTCTAAAGACTGTTGTATTCAGTGCCCAGAGGTGCCAGTATCCAGCTCAAGTTATGGGGCTGACCCTTTCAAGGCTTACTGTGCTCTTAGATGCAGAACATATCCTGGATTTCCAAATTACATTAAGTGATCTGCTATAATCATCAATTCTGGCAGAATCTCAGAGCTAGGAATCCAGCTCTATCACACTAGGATGTATTGCAGTTTATTAATGAACCTCAGCCCACAATGTATTCCTTCCTGAATTATATGTGATCTCCTCCAGACCCTTACTTTTTCCTGGGACACTGCTTGGTTTAATTAGGAATGGCTCTGCATTTAACACTAGAATTCATATCTGCATCTGCTGCTCTTTCCAGTCCCATGTAAACATGGTGCTTTTGCCACTGGCATATAGACCACTTGGGTAACCTGACTCTGACAATAGCCATTGCCCAATGCTTCTGTGAAAATAAAAATCTTCCACAATGCACCTCTTTGTGCCCTCCGTGATAGTGCATTTTGGGAAGAAGCACTGGCTCACATCCTGAAGCACAAAGCATGAGAACCTTTATCGTTTTTATCCTAGCCAGTGGCACTGCAGAGGCTATTTTTCCTCACAAAAGTCTAATTCTTTTTTAACCTTATTGAGCCGTTAGGCTGAATGATATCCTCATTCTGGTGTCTCAGTTCTCTTGGGTCTCTAGCAGTGAACAGTGGTGCTCAGAAGGACCTTCATCCACTCCCAAGGTATTCAGACAGCCTGTGAGGGCTCCCATGACACAGAGCAGCTAGTTGTGGCTGGTTACAGCCTTTTTGCAGCTGGAAGCATCTTCCAGGCACTACCATTGCCAGGTGAGATCCTACTGGAATCTCAGGGCTCTTTCATAGTATAAGCCCTTGCCCCGCGTACCAGGATGTGGGTCTGTAGGCAAAGATGTGGTTCAGGGGGAGCACAATATTGCTTTGCATCTTCCAGCTGCTGCTGCATAAATCTGTGGTAACTCTCAG